TTCCCAGTAAATAAGAGCGAGGAATTTGGAGAGCGAATGCGACGAATATTGTGTTTTATAATTCTGCTTTGCTATGTGCCATTTTTATGTGCCTTTCTTATTTTTGTGCCTGCTATGTTTTTGATGAAATGTTTGAATTTTTATTTTATTATAATTTCTTCCACAGCATTAGTTACGATGTGTAATTTGTGCACGTTATAGAGTGAGCTCTGGAATTTCATGCTGTATCGCGCGTTCTTGATTTTCGCTGGTGTTTGTCGTTTCGGGCCGTTGTTATTGTGATTCGGGATCGCGAAGTTTTTCTATTGTTGTCGACTCTGTGCCGTGTTGTTTGTGTCGAACTGTCGGCACGCACGTTATTATTTTCGTGGGCTCAAGGCCACTGTGCATTGTCACTCTCTCTGAAGATTTGTTTCTTAAATATTATTGCCGTGTATCGGCCATTTCTGACGATCGCGTTCGAATATATTGGTCGTTTCAAAATTAGGATTGAAGGTTGACTACTATTGTTAAGCTTTCTTTTGCTATCGCGTGCGGGTATGAGGGCACAAACGCCAGCAGATCAGTAGCGGGAAGGTTATAATTTTTTTTTCTTCCTTTCTCTGTGCGGCGTTTGGCGGAGAATTTTTTTCCTTTTTTTTTTCTATTCTCTATTGGAGGTTTATCGGTGCCCACTGCTTCTGCGCTTCTGCTTGTTGTCGCCTGATTCCGAGCCCCGCCGGGATGTCTAAGGGACGTTCGCGACTTTCGTGGATTTACCGGCTGTCCGTCGAGCAGCTAAGGAAGAAATTGTCGTAGAGGGCAAGCGATTGAGAGGGATGCCGCTGTACTGCACACCGTTTGTTGCGTTACGAATTGAATGCGTTGGTGCCCGCGGAACCGTCCCAGCGTGCGGAGAAGGACGCCCTCATGGATTTGCGACCGCCGGCCGCGATGCCTGTGCAAACGGACAGTCCGGAGCCTCTCCTGCATGATTATTCGGGAGATCGCGTGGACGCGCACCGTACTCCTCCACCAGTGGCGTCTTCACCTTCACGCCCCGCCGACGCGTCGGGCATTCAGGCTTCAATCTCGGACATCATTAACGCGCTGCGAAGATGGAATTTAAAATGCTCGGGCGCGCGAGGTAGTGAGGCGGAAACCTTATTGATTCGAGGAGGGGCGTGAGTTGTTTCCCGTTGGCGATGCCGATCTTTTCCGATGTTTGCCATTTTTCCTGTCAGGTACCGCGCTGTTCTGGTATCGTTCTCGGCGTTCAGACTGGCAGATCTGGGATCATTCGTGGTTGCATAGAGAAGACTTCGGCGATCCGAATTTTCAGTACGCGTTGCGGGACGAGATTTTGCGCCGCACGCAGGGGAATGATGAGCCAGTCGCTGATTATTTGACGTGCATGCAGGCCCTTTTCGGTCGTTTGAGTCCGCCGTGGGACTTGACGGAATAGTTGGATTACGCGCATCGTAATATGCTGCCGCGTTTGCAGATGAATCTCCATAGGGACGAGTTCTCGAATTCGTGACTTGAGTTATTAGCTTCGCGACTGAGGTAAGCCACAAGGCTAACCTCACGCGCAGAGCCCCTCCCACACCGAAGAAATCTTTATTCCCGGAATTAGCTTATCGCCCGCGTAAACCCCCGCGTAGCTGTCGGGTGAACGCGATCGAGTTTTCGGTCCCGGCAATTGCCGGAAGTAGGAGGGCTCCGAGCCACCATCGGGCTGAGGCGGCTGCCAGGGGAGCGGGAACGCCCGTGACCTCGGCGACGACACCCGTGCGGACGGTTAAGTGCTGGAATTGTGAGAAGACTGGCCATATCGCGCGAGAGTGTGGGGAGACGCGCCGTACATACTGTTTTCGCTGCGGTACGCCGAACGTGACCATGAGGACGTGCCCCACCTGTTCGGGAAACGCGAAGGAGAGCCGCTAGTTCGGGTCGAGGCGGCTCCCACGAAATCAGGTGAGACCCACGTGGAAGTCGATAGGCCCTTGAGTATCTCGCGACGATGTTCCACGTATCCGAGTTGCCTTCACTACGGTACTTTCGTATTTTTATCGGGAGATATTCTTTACCGACTTTAGTGGACTCTGAGTCAAGCCGAACTCTTTTTGGGGACGAAGATATCGAGGTCGTACGACGGTTGAGCTTATCGACGGACCTCCCTGAAAATTTCCATATCCGTACCGTGAACGGACAAGTGGTGGTTTACCAAGACATAAACGCGGCATCATTCTTACTACCATCCCGCCGTATCATCCACAGGCAAATCCCGTTGAAAGGGTAAATAGGATACTCAAAACTATGATTGTGGCCTTTCTCGGCCGTGATCACCGCGAGTGGGACGCTCATCTGAGGGATTTCCGGTTCGCATATAATACCGCTCACCATTCATCGATCGGCACCTCACCCGCTTTTCTAAATCTAGGCCGCGAATTGGAGCCGGCATGGTCGTTGCGACGAGAGGGCCGAGGAGCGACCGAGGTGGAGCTGCGAGATCCTGCGAACTGGCAAGAGCGCATGCGGAGGTTGCAATCGTTGCACCGTTGGATTAGCGGTAACCTCGATCAGGCCCATCAGCAGCAGGCCCGACATTATAATTTGCGAAGGCGCGATCGCACCTTTCGAGTGGGGGATCTTGTTCTGAAGCGACAACACACGCTATCGTCGGCGGTTCACAATGTCGCCACCAAGTTATCGCCGAAATTCCAGGTTTGAAATTCCAGCATTTAAGGTTAATGGGATTCTTTCTCCAGTAGTATATGAGTTGGAGAGCCTCGAAGGCCTCAAAGGCGTTCGGGTGGGAAAGTTGCATGTAAAAGATCTGAAGCCATACCTCATTCCCTAATATTGCTGATCCCTAGTGTCACCTTTACAGTTATCGGTATCGAAGTTATTGCTGGATAGGGGGCGTGGAGGACATTCTAATTGTGCGCCGCCACCCTGAGAGGATGGGAGAAAGAGGCGAAGCCTTCCGAAGGAGGTATGACGCCATATTCCGGGGAATCCGACGGGACTTTCCAACCTTCTGGCGAGAGGCGAGAGAGGTGGCCGAGGAGTACCGGTGCAGCGGCACCGGGGGGGCTGTCGTCAGAAAATGGCCCGACACCAGAGACGCCGCTGTGCAAACAGGAGACGGACCACTCAAGACAAGAGATGCATCCCAGCAGACGGATCCCATGCCGCCCACTACTCCCCCGCCTCGGAGAGGGGGGGAGGAAAGGGGAACATCACCTCCTCAGCGCCGCGACGGAGGTCAGACGGGACTGGCAGGTTACACGGTGGGGGGACCGGCGCACCCGGGAGGATGTTGGAACTGCGGCCGGGACACCCATCGCTACTCGGACTGCCCCTATAGTCGTGACCACTCTTTTTATTACGGCTGCGGGCGGGCGGGGACGACGAGGAAGAACTGCTCCCGCTGTAAAGACGAATACGACGAATCAGAAGGACCCGTACTGTCCCGTACCCTAAATGTATCGAACACTATCATATCGCATATCCACAATAAAATATTATCGTCAAACCTCTAGTTATTTCTGATCCTTGACTCGCCGCTCTATTTCTTTTTCCCTCTCCAGTAATGCCAACCCTGCCGCCTTAATGTTCTTGCGAATGCATGTGGCTTTGCGCTTCGTTTGAGGTGACTGGTAGAGCTTATTCCTGCGCTCACCATATTTCATTGTTTTTTTTTGCTTTTTGACTTTGTGGTGTATTGAGGTTTCTCGGTTTTGTTTTCGTTGGTAGTGGAGTTTGAAGATACGATGTTGGCAAGGCGTTTGACGCGAAGTTACTTCCGTTTATGTAGTCACGATCCAGCGGTGCCGTTTCTCCCTCATAAGATTTTGGGGGGGGGGGAAGACTATCGGGCGAGCTGCTACCGGAAGCCGAATTGCGTACCGCTTAGCGAGCAGGATATTGCAGGAATAGAAAAATTTTTTTTTCCTGCTCTCACCACTTTAGTTTGTGTTTCCGTACCGCATACTGACAGTCTGGAGACTCGAAGAATGATTTTGACGTGTGTTGACGTGACGGAAAGAGAGGAGCTCGAGAGCAGGCCGCGGTAGAACATATTCTCAAGATCGCGAGACGTGTTCGCGAGGCCACCAGCGACTGCCTCTCCTCATTGTTTGAAGTTAGTACCGTTTTGCGTAGGTTCTTTCCGTAGATTCCGAAGAGCCCTCGCGTTGGAGAGACGGAGAAGGAAAACCGTCAGTACCGTACCGTATTTAGGAAAAAGGCTACCCAGATGCTCGCCCGTGACGTACCGCTGGATAACAATTGGGAAGAAACTGGCGACTATTGACGTTCGTCGTAGCCGAGACGTCCTCAGTCCTCCCCGGGGAAGGGGGAGATGTGACGTGACGTTTTCCATCCGTCACAAGGGCCACATGGCCTGACCGAACAGTGCAGTATAGCGTCCTGGGTCCTCTCACATTTTGGGGGCGGACGCACCTGCGCTTTTCCTGCGTCGTCGTTTGCGTACCTTACGCGTTCCGCGCTGTTGTTTCGTTTTCCCGTTTCGGTGTATTCCCGTACTGAGGGTTACAGAGGACGGCGACTCCCGCGACCTTGGCAGAGTGACGCCACCTCACCGGAGAGAAGAGGAGGAAGAACGACCAGGATTGGGAGACGACCACTGATGACGGACCCGCCGGGGGCGCACGACACCTGACCCCGGGTTGCACGCAGGTGATATCCTTCCTTCATTGTTACGCCCTTTTGATTATCGCAAAGCATTCTTTATCGCACCCTCTTACAGGCGCAAAGCGGATCGAGAGACGGTACGGCATGTCGGGAAAGGCCACTTTACGCCCCAAAGACGGCGAGAGCCCCGGATAGACACCTCGAGGCCACGAGGCGACCTGAAAAAAACTCCCGCGATCTCTCGAATTTCGCGCGCCAGGACATGTTACTTTTGTTATTATTAATTCATGTGTACTTTATTCTCGCCCATATTCACTTCTCCAAACGATCTGCTATCCTCGACCGCGAACCGCCCTCTCTGCCATTTCCGAGGCTGAGCTATCGGTTGGGAGCCCGTCGACATTCGCAGCTCCTTAAAGATGGGATAAGTAATGTCTAGAAAGAGTGGCACGCTCGCTCGTGCCTGGCGCCCAACTATTGTTTTGTGATTATGTGCCGCCCTTAAGAGCGGTCGCGGGAAGACGCATTTCGGTCACATTTCGTTTAACGCCACCCGTCATCCGATCGCCTACGAGAACCTTAGCTATGAATGTGCGACGAAGTTGCTCGTGAGTGCGGTTGCAACACACATAATGTTTATAATACATGGTTATATTGTATTTACATGTTGAGTATGAAATTTTAACACAGATGCTATGTCGACTGATATACCATTGTATTATTCTGAGTATGGTCCAACGAATGCTATAAGCGCATCAATGCAAGTGGACTGCATTTGTAGTAACTTATGGAAATAATAATTTACCTCTAAAAGAATTAATATTTGATTGAAGACATTATCAATTTGTTCAGTAGGCAACTTGTTCACCTATAAAAAAGTTAAAATTGAAAATTAAAAATATAGTTGTACTTCAATCATTATTTCTAATTTGATTTTTCACATAATAATATTGAATGTAACTATAAATTAAATTTTTTCAAATTAAATATAACCAGGTAATTCTCAATGAAACCAAAATATCAACTAATTCTATTATTAAAAATATTTGTTACCTATCAATACTTGTTGCATTTTAAGAAATTATATTAGGTGTATGACTTTGCTTATACCTTTTTCGTATAGATGGCTTTAGCGGTAAGTGGTGATCGAAATAAATAGATCATAGACGTTACACAATAAACTTGGGCATCTGTCAACATAATCCCATAGAAACATTAGTCGATTTGTGTCTGCATCATAAAGTTATTCTTGATTGAAAATGTCAGTTTACGAGCCAAATTCTTGTCATTTTAATTTTCTGCTTCAATATGAAGAAATCTGCGGCTGAAGCTCATCGAATGCTCTCAAATAAGCCATTTCAAAACGTCTCAAAGCCATGGGAATGATTCAGAAGCAAGGAAATTGGGTGCCGTACGAGTTGAAGCCGAGAGATGTTGAACGGCGTTTGTTTGCTTGTGAACAGCTGCTTGAAAGGCAAAGACGGAAGGGCTTTCCGCATCGCATTGTGACTGGGGACGAAAAATGGGTTCATTACGATAATCCCAAGCGCAGAAAATCATGGGGAGTTCCCGGCCATGCTTCCACGTCGACGGCCAAACCGAATATTCACGGCTCCAAGATCATGCTCTGTATTTGGTGGAACCAGCTCGGCGTAGTATATTATGAGCTGTTAAAACCGACTGAAACAATCACAGGCGATCAGTATCGAACGCAATTGATGCGTTTGAGTCGAGCATTGAAAGACAAACGGCCGCAATACAACGAGAGACACAATAAAGTGATTTTGCAACATGACAATGCTCGACCCCATGTTGCGAAAGTGGTCAAGACATACTTGGAAACGTTGAAATGGGAAGTCCTACCCCACCCGCCGTATTCTCCAGACGTTGCTCCCTCTGACTATCACTTGTTTCGATCAATGGCACACGACCTGGCTGACCAGCACTTCCGGTCTTATGAAGAAGTAAAAAATTGGATCGATTCGTGGATCGCTTCAAAAGATGATCAGTTTTTTCGACGCGGGATTCGTATGCTGCCCGAAAGATGGGAGAAAGCAGTGGCCAGCGATGGACAATACTTTGAATCATAAATGTATAACCAGTTTTTTACAATAAAGCCTCGAATTTCGGAAAAAAACGGTATAAGCAAAGTCGTACGCCTTATAATATTATCTTATGTTTATTTACAGTATAAGACGAATTAGAATTAGCATCCTCGTCTTCATACATTCTTTTTCGTATGTTTTTTTTTACATTCTTTGTTTTATTGATATCTAACTGTGAGTCGATGCATTAACATTGTCTAATAGCATTAACATTGTCTTCTTCAATATTTTCGTCAACAATTTTTTGATGATTTTCAGATAAATCATCATCATGTTCTAAATGAAATATATTTCTTTGCAAATGTTACTTTAAATTGATAGTATTGCCACCATGCTTTAGTGTTTTTTTACATAAAATGCAAGTAGCATTCGTAGAATCTTCTTTCTTAAAATATTTCCATACGACACTTTTGCACATGCTTTTCTTTTTACCCATTTTATATTCTAAAAATAAAAGAATTAATGATAAAGGTTTACAATACCCCGGTCACTTCAAATTTTGATAAAAATAGACTCAATCGATGTGTTTTCACGTAAAAATAAAAATTCCACAAGAAAAAAGCGTCACTCTGCCCCACGAACCGCGATATTAAAAGGGTTTGTTTTAAAATCGTGAATTTGTGTTTTAGAGCAGAGAACTTGTTTTAAAAGCGAATTTGAGATCATAGCGAATGCTTGCATCGCAGTATTTCGCGGCTAACAGACCTAACCTCAATCGTCAACTTTAACTTAAGCTTAATATCTCAGTTCATGGGGCAGAGCGCTTTTTTCTTGTGCAAAAAGCATCGATTCTTAAATCATCGATCGATAATTTCCCATCCCTAATATAAGCCTTCTAACCTAAAAAAAACCTGTTGCTTTTTGCTGTTACTTAAAAAATTGATCACAACGTTTTTTTTTTTTTTTTTTTTTGATAACGGAGAGGAAATGCCTGACGCATACCGGGTCTCGGGGGAGAACCCGGGATTATGTGGGGCTTGCACCCACTAAAACCCCTCCGGGTGTCCTTACCTGGCCTTGCGTGAGGGGCTCCCAGGAACGCGTGCAGCATACTTCTGGGAGACGCTTATTATATCTCATTACGAAGATTCATTATGATAATGAATTTAATAATGAAGTACTTGATACTTAAAATGTGATGGACGAAGATATAAGTGATGTAACTTTTATAAATGAAGATTCTGTGGATGAAGATACAATCCTCATCTCTTTAATTCAAGGTTATCCTTATTTATATAACAAGTAATTAAATGACTTTAAAGATAGCCTCAAGAAAAAAAATGCTTGAAAAGAGATAGCCAAGATTTTAAACATGAAAGGTATATCTATCATAATATATTTCTCTAATTTTAAATAATTCACAAATCAAAATTTAAGTTTAACTTGAATACTTGACTAAATGAAATTGTATTCAAGATTAGTGATTTTTTATTGAAAATTAATAAAGATTCATGACTGAATGAAGAATTCCATACAAATCATATGAAAAATAGATTCCAGTCAAATTAGTTGAAATATCCTGAGGATACCATAAACTATATCATAATAAAATTTCAACCAATTCAACTAAAACCCATTCTTTATAAAATTTATGTGGGGTCCTTTATTTGTTTACTTTTTTAATGTACATTATAATATATCAAGTAAAATTTTCCTTGGACAGAAGACATTTTGAAATGTAGCCTTAATATAAAATTTGAAACATGTTTGCAATCAATAATAAAATTTGTTTTTCTTAGAAACTTAAGTGCAAGTGGCGAAAAAATGAACTTGTTACATTATTCCTCGAACAGGCAAATAAGTGCGCCTCTGTCAACAGAATAGTCTTGAAAAATTTGTAACATTACCAATCGAAGTCTACATTCCAAAACGTCTTCTTCGAAGAAAATTTTATTCGAAATATATAGTAT